AGGTCAATAAGCTCGGGATCACATTTACCAGTACTTATTGGAAAATTAGTTCAATTGGCGCATTTCTGCACAATTCTTTCGCGGGCCGGATAAAATCACATCGCGGGCCGCATGTGGCCCGCGGGCCGTAGTTTTGAGACCCTTGGTCTAAGTGACAAATACGCATGTTCAGAGGCTGATTTCAGTAGTCATAATGGCGATCTGCTTGAGGGTGTACTGCCGAGGAGCAGAGTTCTGTTGTGCGTTATCTGTGGGCAAAATGACTGAATGCAAAGGATATTTATAAAGAAATGTTTCCTGTTTACGGTGGGAAGTGTTTGTCGCATAAAGCAGTTCGCAACTGGGTTGAGAAATTCTCTCAAGGACGTTCGAAAAGTCTCAGTAGATAAAACGGACGTGCGGAAGTGGCTGAGACAACGACAAAAAAAATTTAGGTCCACCCAGCCTCCTATCCAATGGGTACCCGGGGCTCTTTCCCCGGGGATAAAGCGGCAGGGGCGTGAAGCTCATCAGTCACCTCAAGCTAGTGCCGAGATCAAGAAAATATGGATCTGTACATCCACTCCCACATACGCCTTCATAGTGTAGTGTTTAGTTAGGCACAGGGACAACTTTACCTTTCTTACCTTTTTGTTACGGGTTCGACGCACTGGCAAAGCGATGGGACAAATGTATCAGTGTAAGATCTGCTTGTACAGGTTCTCACGCTCATTTCGCTTGCGGATTTCTTATTTTTCCGTCTACCCTGAAGATGGAGGCTATACGTTCCTCCGACACGTCAGTTAATACCACATCTACACGGTGCCACATCCAAGAAGAATGCTTTATTCTTAAATGTATCAGTGTTGGTGGAAGATATATAGAGAAATAATTCTTTCTTCAAGTTTCGAATATCACACGTTTTACGTTTTGCATCCGTTTGTAAAGTATTTACTGATTTTCCCCCAAACAGATCTTCATAATCATAGCTGAGTGAAGCTCAGATCCTGCACAGACCCATCAGGCGGTTTGCTATGTAATTCATCCGAACGCTGTTCGGTAAGTCAAAAAATTCCACACGTTTCATTTACGTTAGCAACAACGCGTTAGGGACCCCCAGTAAGCCCACACCACGATCTAAAACAGTGGCTCTCAACCTCAGTAGGACCGCGGCCGGGTAATCTCTTTTTTCTATAAGACGAGGGTCCGGCATAATTGATGCCAGGGCCCGAAGGATGGGAAACACTGCTCTAGATTAGTGTTCAGCAGCCTCTTTACACTAAAGACAAAGCCTAAGTTGTAAGACACATGAGAGCACACCATAAAATATTAAACATTTTAGATTCAATAATTTAACACGCTGCTTTTTCCTTGATACAAGGTGCAAATGTACCATTTATTATAAAAAAAATCATGGCACACTTAACACATTTGGCCGGCACGTCAGTGTGCTGAAGAACACTGCTGAATAATCTCCGTCCTCCCCAATCCCTTCAAATTCATCATGGATGAGTGGTTCATTCAACACAGACTCGTAAAATAATCTACAAATAAATTAATTCACTCCATTTCATTTGATCTTTTTTTTTTCTCGCGCCCATTTTGGAGCACAGGGCTGATTTCTCAGTTTCTTCACCATTTTACAGACGGTAGGACTCCTTGGACGGGTGGTCAGCTCAACGCAAGGCCTGTACCTAAACACAGGACATAAACACAGAATAAACACATACACACCAAACACCCGTGCCTTGTGTGGGATTGGAACCCACGATCCCGGCTTCCGAGCGAGCGAAGACAGTGCATGCCTTAGAACGCTCGGCTACCGTGACCGGCAGTGTATAAGAATAATATATAAGAATTCAGTTCGTACCTCACAGGAAACAGATCCGAACCCACGATCCCGGTTTCCAAGCGAGCGAAGACAGTACATGCCTTAGACCGCTCGGCTACCGTGACCGGCAGTGTATAAGAATAATATATAAGAATTCAGTTCGTACCTCACAGGAAACAGATCCGAACCCACGATCCCGGCTTCCGAGCGAGCGAAGACAGTGCATGCCTTAGACCGGTCGGCTACCGTGACCGGCAGTGTCATTTGTACCTCTCTGTTAATCCTCTAGCTCATAACTTAAAGTGATTTATATCATCGCTGGAGACGTTGAAACCCATCCGATGATATGTATGTTGAAACAATTGAACAAGTCTGTAAAGGAAATGTCAGAAGAATGTGACAGGGAATATATTTCTCCCAGGACAAACTCAGTCACACAGACAGAAAGCATTGCCGCATAGGATAGTTTCCTGCGGTGGAAAGTCAGATTAAGCATTGGGCTTTCGAATGTTCCTTCGACCCAATTCCCTGTTGTTGAGTACACATATTTCACAACCTCCCCCCGCCCTGCTTGTGGTCTCAGAACGCAGGGCAAAATCATAATATTGACATAGCGAATAGATCCTTTGAGAATGTGGCACAGTTCAGATATTTGGGAACGACAGTAACTCATCAAACCCTGATTCAGGCGGAAATTAAGATGAGACCGAATTCCGGAAATGCTTGCTACAATTCGGTCCAGAAGCTTCTGTCTTCTCGCTTTCTAATAGCGTAAAAATCAGAATATATAAAATTATAATTTTGCCTGTGGTTCAGTATGGGTGTGAAACTTGGTCTCTGGCATTAAGGGAGGAACATACACTGAGGGTGTTTGAGAACAGGGAGAATATTTGGACCGGAGAGAGATGAAGTGACAGGAGGCTGGAGAAAATTGCGTAATGAGAAGCTTCATAACTTGTACTCTTTGTCAAATAGCTACAATGATTAAGTCAAGGATGAGTTGGGTTGGGCATGTAGCACGTATACAGGAAAAGAATTCACATAGGATTTTGATGGGAAAGCCAGAAGGAAAGAAACAACTAGCGACACCTAGACGTAGATGGGAGAATAATTTTACAATGGTATAGGAAGGAGTGGCATGGATTGGATTCATATGGCTCAGTGTAAAAACCAGCGAAGAACACCTGTAAACATGCTAATGACTTTTCGGGTCCTATAAAATGTTCGGAAATTCTTGAGCAGCTGCGTCCCGTGTGGAGGCGGAGTCGAATACCTCCACCGTGACCCTGCGACTCGTAGGAGGCGGTGAAAAGGGAAGTCTCACCTAGACTTACTTACTGACTGACTGACCGTCAGTCGCAATGTGACTTGGACTTGGAGCAGCTTCTTAACTGTGCAATTTCTCAAGAAGGGCTCAGCTCCATTAAGTTACTTAGTTAGCTTGTGATCTCTCTTGAGAGCTCTAAAAATGTGGACATTTTACATGTCACTTATATCAAGGGAGCTCCAAATTCTCATTTTGGTACCTGTGTATAATACTTCAAAAGGAAATTCTGCATACAAAACGCGTCATTGTGGACATGTCGGCTATGTTACAAAAGAAGCGCCTGCCTCTTTGTGCTCAATATCTCCATATCGACTGGGTCTGCTGTCAGCTTAGACCGTACAGCTGTTTGGCAGGCTGCCTACTTGTCCCTGACAAGCCTAGGGCTTTATTCTTACCCCTCGACTCTATCTCCCTCTATTGTATGCTCTCGGTCATATGCATGAAGGATTGTCTGACGTCACAAAAGGTGGATAAAAAATTTTATAACCCTGCTGCAGTATATCAGGCAGTCTTTAAAGTATATAGGCAAGGGTAAATGTGCAGGTAAAACTATTATATGGGGTTTATAAGACATTTTCAATGGCTCCGTTATCGTATAATGTAAAACGAGAAGAAACATGGAACAGCTTGACCTATTTCTATAATATTCATTGAGCATGGTCGCGCGCTGGTTCAAGTGGTCATGACGACGCTGAATGCGGAACAGCTTGCGCCCCGGCAGTTCATTTTGTGCAGAAAGCGAAACTGCATTCCATTCCCGGAAATAAATATAAGCGGTCTTTTCGAAATAAAATACGAATTGTGCTTACTAAATATTTTGTTTTGTTATTAAACTGATTTGACACTACACGTAAAGCTATTCCTGTAACAGCCCGTGGAGGTTCATATAGTTGTGAGACGTCGAGGTTCCCACATTTTCTAGACAATCGGATCAAAGATGGCACTGATGTTGTCAGCCTTACGTGCCGGCCGCCCTTTACCCTCAAGGTTCCTGGTACTCATTTCTGTTAGAGGCTGAGTCGACACCAGGGTCATAGGTCAATTAAAAAATTCAGTGACCTCATCGGGAATCGAATCAGCGACCTTCCTGCTTCTCGCAAAGTGCTTGACATTACATGTAATAAATAAAATCAGGACTTCAAGTTGGTCACAAATATCCCTTGTAGGAGGGATGTTAAACGTGCACAGAGAATATAAAGGCTTCACCAATGACGTTGAAATTGAAGCATCAAACATTTGCTAATTTCCCACTTTTCCACAAACACGTCATTACCAGCTAAAGATAAAAGGAAAGACATGATAGTCCGGGGAAAACATTTATTCCAAGAAAAATTATAACACATAAATACATTAAAGTTTAAAACACTCAACGCAAAAAAAAAATACAATCTATGGTGTGTCAAATGCTATGATGCAGTTAGCAAGTGATTCTAATTGTTACTCATTACTCAGTGCAATATAACGTCACCCGACTCTACTTCTATGACTGCAAACGGATACATCAGTTTCAATGCAACAGATATTGCTCTGGGTCTGCGGAGGGGCTCCAGGGGGACGCGCGGTTTCAGCCACTGTGGCGTTGATTGTTTCTGCAGAAGGGCACCTTCTTCTTCTTCTTCTCCTTCTCCTTTCTTCTTTAAGGAGAGTGGCTGTCCTGACAGAGAACCTGAGGAAGGCATGTCATGACGGTTACTGTTTGGATTCCAGCCTCGAATCCATGAGCCCAGGTACATTGCTTTAGCTTCGTTGACTAAACGGGTGATTAAGGTGGAATGTTTTCCTGGAATCGTATCTATTTTCAGGAACCCACAGCACTCTTTCATGATCAGAAAACTCCACCGCTGCACGTACGACAGACTGCAGTGTCGCATTGCGTCTGCCTCCTCATGGAAGTCGCATGAGATTCCCTCTGTAAATTCCAAAGAGTCGTCGATCAGCTTGTCTTCAGCCAAGAAGTTAGGCTGCAAGATTACTTCACTTGGAATACCCAAAGTTCCATTTCGGAGTTCGTGAAACAGTTTGCAGACAGGGTACACGCGGAAGCGGTCTCTCCATGAATTCATGTGTGGACCAACGCTTTCATTCAGTTGCCACAAAATGCTTTTAACAGCGTTGATATCTCTTGGTCGCGTATACAGAGGCGGCAGCTTTGTCTTATCTCTGTCCTCTCCAATTAGAAATAATCTGATTTTGTTGAGTATTTCCAGCTGATCGGACACACTCCCGAAAGCGTCTGGAGGCAATGGAATGAGATGAGTTTTTGTTGCACGTTTCGTTGCCAGATAAGCGTAGCCAACAGGAATCTCACCGGGGTTAATAAATGAATGAAAGGTTTTCCTAACACCGTCCACAAAACTGAACTCAGCGAGAGCAATTTCACAGCCCAGGTACCTGCCACTGCTATCCTTGCAGTAGTGGTTGACGTGCACCAGGTGGAACAGGTGGGTTTTCAGTGATTTCTGGTGTTTGAGCGAGCGCACTGTTTCCTCTATCTCCTGCATCATCCTGGTCTGCCTGTTAGCCCAGTTGAGCACTCGCTCAATCCGGACGCAGTATCTCCTCCGTGGCGTAAATTGGTTCTTAGACTCCACGTGGCTAAGATTTTTCTTCCTGTTTCGGGCCTGTTCCTCATACGCCCATCTCTCCTCCGGTTTCATGTGATCATAGAAGGCTTCCATCTCCGTGATGAAGGCAGCGTCCCTTTCTTGCACCTGCTTCTTTATATGAAGGAGGAAGCAAAGAAATCCATCCACCGAACTTTCCTTCTCCGTTTGCTGCATATTGTCCATTTATATCTGAGAACAGAGAAATAAAAACAAATTTCGTCAGATTATTCTGGAGTCACATCAAAACCTGAATGCTAGAGATCAGACTCAAGTATAGGAAGGCCTCACATCTGTGATGGATTGTAGGACCAGTCGGCTGGAGCCGAATCACTCCGCGTACCTCTACTAGTGAGCATTCCTGGCTAATGTGCCATATTAATTAACTGTAATTACCAATTCTCAAAATTGGATAATAACTACAAACATCTCAGAAAAGTTGATTGCCTATGATTCCAAGGAAATACGCCTATTATTCTAGCATGTCTGTTTCTTCCGGTCATTCTATTTCTACACACATTGTGCACAGGCTCCGGACAAGAAATGTTCCCACATTTATGGAAACCCAACACAGCTGAACACCAGGGGCTACTTTTACATATGAAATTCCTTATGAATTTGTTCTACCCGAATATGCTGCTTGTGCGACCCTCTTAAATCTCCTTCGTTAAATCACATCCGTAATTCCAGGCGAAAAACACAATTCATAAAGTTTATCTTTTTTATACAAAATTTTGACATACCTGTACTGATTACGTCAAGACAGATATATACTATAATGTAAACTATTGAGATGGCTTCAGATGGCATGATATATAGACACACCAAGTTTCATGAAGATTGGTACACGCGTTAGAGAAATATTAAGGGTTTCTCTCAGAACTCTGAGAAGCTGAAATGTTGGTATTATTGATGCAATGATTTATGATGATGTAGTTTAGATAGCTTCATAGGACATAATATACGATGTACTTACAAGGTTTCATGAAGATTCATATAGATTTTCATGCAATATTATGGTTTGGACTCAGAAATTTGAGAGGCTGTAATGTTGGTATTACTGGTGTGAAGGATTCCTGCATTGCACCGTTGAAACCGACTCAGGTGGCAGGATGTATGTACTAAGTTTCATAAAGATTGGTTGAGCCATTAAAAAGTTAATGGGGAGATACACGCACAGACACACAGCAAGGTGACGTCATAGGGCTACTTTTATCTTTTAAGGTAGTAGGCTAACAATTTCCGAAATCCCCGAATGCCACACGCCATCACTAGAACTTTTAGAGTCGGCCCGAGAGTACAGTTAAACAAGAAACGGAAGTCGCACTTTAACCATGGTAAAATTGTTAAGCAATAATATATGGCAACCGAAATAATATTATGAAAGCAATGCGTGCATCGTAATTAAGAATGAAAAAAAGACCAGACGGAGCAGACTCGTGCAGCTGTAACACTCTAAACCTGTATGTTGGAGGTGTTGGGTTCGAATCTCGACTTGGACACCAGCTGTCCGCACTGAAGTGTTTCATATTTGTTCTCAGTCCCTATAGGCAAATGCTACGATAGTACCTCGATCACAGAAAAGTCTGCTTCCTTCCTAATCCTTTCCAATTAATTATTCATTGGTCATTCCATCGCTTGACCCCATAGCCTATAGTCTGAAATCCTGATGGCGTCGTTAAACAAGCCACATAAAACAATAAAGTGCACGTACGAGATTCTGTACATGAGCCCACTACTTATAGATAATTTAATCCAGCTGAACCCAATCCACTTCCTCACGCCTTATTTCCTTAAGGTTAAAGTTAAATATCCTCATGTATTACTGACTGGACACGGGGTTTGCAATGAGCGTCGAATGGACTGGACATCTGACATTCGTAACTACAAATAATTGCAACACTTTCACTGTTCTATAGCGTCTAAATTAACTACAGTCTTAAATATCTGTTATATTCTTACCTCACTGTTTGTAGTAATGGCTTCCGGAAATGATGATTCTGCTTGTTGCTTCAGTCCTCTCCGTGCTGGCTTCTGTGACAACTCAAAGTCAAAGTCAGGTTACGAGTGACGGCCAGTACGTCCGCAGCTGCCTTTATACTCCAGAAACAGCCGCCTGTTATGTCACAGTACCACGTTGCGTACAGCTGCACTGCTGTTGCATCAGAGAGGGTAACCTAGGTGACGTCACAGTGCCACATTGCAGCGAAGTGTTTACTGTCTGGTTGCCTAGCAACGCATGCGCTATCGCGTCGCGCTGAGTTCACCATTCCGACTTTAAGCGTTATGTAATAATATTTTACTTCCACCAAGTAAAATTTTGTATCAATTTATCACGTCTTATAAACTTTTTACATGTCCCGCACATATCATATATATGTGAATGCCCTAACAGTATTTGATGGAGAGCGTGTAGTTATGCAACACACAGCTCCTTCTGGTTTTCATCAGTTTTTTTTAAGAAATACAAATAATCGCTTACTTTAGGAAGAAAAATAGACAGAATGTAGAACACAGGCACCCCTTAAATGCCTTATGCATGTGCTGCAACACGAAACGGGAGACGTAGGAAGGCCTGGGAGTGAATGGGCAGACAGTTTAATTCTGGGATCTCTGATTTAGTTCCAAGCATAAAATTACTGAGGAGGAAGGAAGACGATTATATGACGTCTGATGTGTTATAGGCCCATTTATAATGGTTTGGGAAGCGGGAATAGTCATAAGAATAGAAAGAACTGAAGAAGACCGTATCCTGCGGCATGTATCGGTAATTGGATTCACACTTAGAATAATCGTGTGTTGCAAAGAAAGAGATAAATAGAGGACGAACGCCCTGTATGCTGTTATTGCATTCAGCGTTAACGTGAGTAAGAAAGTGCCATTGTTGGGACCGCCTCATCACTGCAACTGTTACAGCCGTTTTAAACAAATATGGTTAGCCAAGCATATGCATGTCTCTCGCCTCACAAGACTAGGCCAGCATTTGTGATTCCTGCTTCACGAGGGTATTTTAACGTGTAGAATAAAAGCACCCAGATCACTGTCATACAGCAATACAGTAAACCCTCGCTAATCCGGTTACATTTACAGCCCGGCATTTGCTACAAAATACCGAGTTATCGTTGCTCCTGGATTATTAAGCGCTATTATTTCAATGTGAAAGTGTTGAAGCCGAAATTCCTCAAGAATATCTGTAACTGTACCAACCTTGTCACTTGAACAATAAATGCAGGTATTAGGAACACTACGTAATATCTCTTTCTTATCAACAGTTTTGGTACTGTACAGTGAAGACCGCCTCTGCGGTCTAATTGTCAGAGTTCCTGGCTAGAGATCCAGAGGTCCGGGTTCGATTCCCGGCGCTACCATATTTTGTGAGAAGTAGTGGGTATGGAACGGGGTCCACTCAGCTACGTGAGGATAATTGAGGAGCTATTTCAAGGAAATAGCGGTTCCAGTCTAGAAAACCGAAATTAACGGCCGTGGGAATTCGTTGCGCTGACTACGCAACACTCTCTATCCGTTAAAGTTGGCATTAACTTCGCCAACGATCGGCGGTCGCTCGGTCGGTATAGTTCGCTTGCGGACTAAAATCAAGGAGTTTGTTTTGTTTATGTAATATCTCTTTCTTATCAACAGTTCTGGAAGTTAAATATAGTGACAATTAACAAGCATCTTTGTGTGTTTTCAGATCACGGAGAGGCTACTCAGTCGCGCTGGAATGAGGGGGTCTAAGCAGAAAAATGATTGACAATCAATAAAGACTGCGAGACACAAAGGAAATGGATCGTCACGCCACTGAAAACAGCCCAAATGTCTGCCAGATCGAAAGGAAAGTTTAACAACGTAATAACTCCAAAATAGGAATCCCTTGTTGACAAAAACTGAATTGTCTCAGCACAACGCAGAATAACATACAAGCGTGTCAAAGTCTGCAAGAAAAGAAATGTTTCACGTGACAAACAGTTGCATGTAATGGTGAGTGACGTCAACATATCTGCATGAAATCTACGTCATGACGTGTATACACGCTACTTATTTCACGGATCGACAAAATCAAAACCTACGTCATCAGCATGTTTGCCGTGACTGTCAGTTTCAGAAAATTTATATGGAGGGTATTCCCCTCACTCAACCATAAACATAAATGTAAAACAGACACACGAGAGAAAGAGAGAGAGAACAAGAATTACTGAAAGGAACTATAAACAAGTTAACATGTTATCACCTGCTTACGTCAAGGTCTATCGCCATGTTGTAAAGAAAGACAAGAAATAACAGCTTGCATTATCGAGTAGAACATAAAACGGGAGTTGTTTTAGTAGGAGCAGAAAAACGAGAAAGAATGAAGATGCGGTAAATATTATTTTCTGAACAGGCGCCAAAAAATGTGACTGTCCCATGAGTTCCTTTGTGTTGAAACGTGCCTGCATGTTACTGTGAGCAAGAACATGGAAGCGATTTATTATCTGTAACCGTCCTATAAGCAGTAATCACAAGACAACCAACAGACGTAGCAACTCAGCAACCCATCACAGCTGTATCCCATCTTGTTGTTGCTGCCTGTGAAGTAGTGGCCAACGTACAGTGCTGCAAGTGATGAAGGTTTCTGTGGATCTGACGGTAATGTTAACTGGTGAAGTTCCTAACTTGCAGTGAAAAGAAAGTCTTGCCTAATAGTCTTATGACGCGTGTGGAAAAAAATATTGATTTGAAGTAACGTGTGAATAAATCTTGTTTTTTTTTACTTATTAAAACGTTGGATGAAGTTATATCGATTGCATTACAAGGTACAGCTGACTTATTGTAGTTGCCTTATTTATTCTCATAATTTCCTCTAGAATTTTTTTTTTCGTAAATTCAGTGTAAATTTATTCAAGAATAATTAATACAAAGGTACGTTAAATTAACCCAGTCAACAAAATCACAGAACATTTGTACAAGTTAATAAGAAAATAATTGGAATACACATCGAATTGTGAACGTCACAAATGCTTGATAATGCACATATGTACATCCGCTAGACTGCTAAAATATTAAGAATCTTAGGTTGACTATATGTGAATGCTTGGATTTGAGAGGAGAAATTTGTGTTTAACACATTACATCGAAAAGAGAACTTTTCATTAAGGTTTACGACTATAAACACGTTCGTAGTGGCCTGCTAATATTTCATAAAGGAGATAAACCGGTTACAACGCCTTTACAATGACAATGAAATACTGTTAGTGGTGCTTAAAGTTTGGTATGTTGAAGAAAGTTATGTAAGTAAACTACCATAACACTTCGACGTTAAGAAGAATCCCATATTGCTATAAGTGTATAAAGTGTGACGAAAAGTGAAGTCGAACATATGTTGAAAACAATTTAGGTTACGCCGGTTTATAAATCGGTTACCAAGAAGTCTTAAACACCTATGAGAATACCATTCACTGCACCAGACATTCTCAGCACTGACGACACGACAACCTCCAGCAATCCAACCAACAAAACCACACACTACTACTATCGACTGGCAGCATACGACCCTCCAAGCATCGCCAATGACTGTGATGCTTCTACAGCACACGCCGCTTCAGTACTACAAGCCTCCTCCACCTCCATCAACATCCAAAGACGTTACTACCCAGCAGCAGCAGCATATGAACCCTCCAGCCGTCCTGCACCACCATTCAATCAGCAGCGCTTCAATCCAAGCCTTTAAAGCGTCTTGCAACACAAGGGCTATGCGTTACTATCGACTCTGGATCTACACATGCAACGCAGTGCTACTTGTCAGCGTGCTGGGGTTCGCTATCGTAGCTGGAAGAATCGTAGTGGCAGATCCACGGAGGTACCTAGTCCCAGGTCTGTCACTCTACCAGCCAAGCTTCTTGTACGCATACCTCGCTCTGGCAACGCAAAGCGGACTCCTCCAGCTTGTTGGATGTTTAGGAGCATTACGTCTCAACGAGAGGCTCCTCAATGTATATTGGCTGCTCTTGCTAGTGCTTCTTTTCGGTGACGCTATCGTTGGTATAGTCTGGGTGTTCCGTTTCGATAAAATATGCGCTGACTTAAGACCGACGCTTAAGCAACGTTTGGCTGCTGAATACGGCGTCGATGCTGATTTCACTACCCTGTGGAACGCATTACAAAGGGACTACAAGTGTTGTGGTGTAGATGGTGCTCAGGATTTTGAAGGTGGTGTTGTGAACAGGACTCACGGTGTGCCGGAAAGTTGTTGCAGATTTCTTCCGTTATCTACCACGCTACCTGTCCAGGATCATCAACATCACCACCATCACCATCATCAAGCAATTACAGAAAGGCGACCTTCTTTGGGAGGAACGTCGACATTAAAAAATTATCAAAACCTTCCGTCACCTCCTTCGGCATCAGAGGCTTCGTCGTTCGTAGACAATGAATCCTTAAATCGTGTCATATCTCCAGAGCAGGAGGCCGAAACAAACAGAGTTCCCACCGATACCGCGACATCTCACAGACTCCCATCTTCCACGTCATCTGACAATTGTGCAGTGAGAAATTCTGATGCGGGATTTGGTGATTCCCACGTATACACTGCGGGGTGCGAGGGTCTACTTCTCTTCTGGTTGCGACAGAGTGCAGACGTGCTATTCGTGTTAGGTTACTGTGTCATTGCGTTCGTCAAACTGTGCTTCCTCGGTATTTTGCGGTACGAGATTAGGGAGATGATTCAGAAGATTAAAGTGCTGCAAGGTGATATGAGACCACCGCAATTACTCCTCACCGAATTCGAAACCGGACCATCACCTATAACGTCCCCAACAACGACAACTCAACACTTAGAACCTCTCCTCATGAATCATCATGAGAACAATGGAAATATTGTCACGGGAAACAATGGAGGAATGATCACTGTAGTCAACAATACCACGTCTCCTCCACCCCAAATACGTCACGGAGGAACAGCGTCTTGTGGGAGTGAACGTGACCGGACAGGATCCGGAACCGCTCTACTACTCCTGCAGCCACCGGACAGTTTGCAGACAACGCCTTTACACATGTCGACACACCATCAGCGACACCTCAACCTCATGAACGACGGAACTGACTCCGACACCAACAGCAACTGTGCCCTCATCATATCGGAGGACAATTCCGCAACAAACAAGTCTTCAGCGGGTAAAACGAAGCAGCCACGCGGTTCGAACGGCAACAACAATTATGAACTTCACGAACTGCAGGAGCTCAACAGGCTTCTTGCGAGGCACCAGACCCAGATCTGACTACGGAGATGGATAGCCACCTGCTTTCCCACTCTACTGCTCTTCCCATCGCCGTCATTGCCTGGGAAACGCAGGAGGAAATTCCGTTATTAAACAAAAGGAAATTCCGTGGTCTGTAGTCCGCAAGCGAACTATATCGACCGAGCGACCGTCACTTGCCGGCGAAGTTAGTGCCAACTTTAACGGATTCAGGTTGTCGCATGGTCAACGCAATGGATCCCAACGGCCGTTAATCTCGGTTTTCTAGACCGGAGCCGCTATTTCCTTGAAATAGCTCATCAATTATCTTCACGAGGCTTAGTGGACCCCGTTCCAGATCCCACTACTAAGAAAATCTGGTAGCACCGGGAATCGAACCCGGGACCTCTGTATCTGTGGGCAGGAACTCTGACAACTAGACCACAGAGGCGGTCTGTTCCGTTATTACTGAACACAAAAAAAACAATGTCTGCAAGGATACACCCTACACAAAATACGATGTACGTGTGACTGATTCTCAGCTTGTGTGTAATTTATTGTGTGCACAACAAAAATTAGTATTTTAGTTAGGGGCATGTGTGGAAGTCGTAATACTTAAGTGACAGATACAGAATAAGAGAATGGCTGAAACACGATTCATTTTGGTAAATGAATTTTGTGCACAGGCTAAGAATGACTGGTTTTGCAAACAGCGAAATATTAACTACACGATACAACTGGTAAGTAATATTTACAGAGACGGCAAAGGTGGGTTAATAATAGGTTTACCGACTGTAAGTAAATGGAAGAGGTCAAGTCTGTAAGAATGTTCTCTAAGAAATAATTTTAACACATTTATTTATTCTAATTAGATTTCACAAAACGTATCATTAGTCATATTATGAGTGAAATCATATCGTAACGTAAAACATGCTTTCCTCATAATGGCCCATAGAAACAATTATATCATCTCTTTTATTAAAAGACAAAGGACGAGGAACCCTACAGGTTCAATAAAGTATATCTGAAAACACGAACAAATAAAACGGCCAATACAAAAGCAAGCCACAATTACAAAATACCTAACACATGTTGTGGACATTCTGAACAAGTAGAGATGCTGAGGATAATCAAGATACGTTTCAGCCTGGATATAACAAGACAGCAGCATAATGTATCACTGGAGACATACTGACTGGCTGCATTTTCTGTATAAATACATCTCATGTACCACATTCAATAATTAACATTCGGAATGATAAAAAAAAATTAGATTAAGGCAGCATCTTTCGACAATGCTTGTAAAGTTTAGTAAAAAAAACTAGCATAAAAGTATTATTTCAGTTTTTGCGTATTAATATACATTGGAAGCATGGTAATCCTGAGAGTCAACTGATTGTGACTGGTCTGGTTCTTGTCAACTCTGTTTCCACACAGCTCCCATACTTATACCTATAATACAATGAGCAGTGTTTGCTATGGCTGGTGGAAACGTATCTACATAGACTTTCGAAATGGTTACAGTTCCAAATCTGGTTAAAATTAAGTTTTATTTCCAAAGGGATGTATTAACACACGCTTCTAACTCAATGGGGTTGTGATTTTAATGAAGTAAATATATCCAATATAAGATTTCAGGGTTTACAAGACAGTGAAAATTTGTGTTATTTTTTTTCTGTTTTTGACAGTATGTAATGTACTAGGTAGTTGTCAACGTTTCGGGGAAACAAAACCTATTTTTTTATTGCTAGTGGGGTTGGTCTAAGTCCCTTGTACTGCGTCCACTTCTGGCCTATTCTACCAGCCCCAGATGATAGGTGAGGGTGATTGTAGAGCAACTGGTGGATTGAAGATTGGCAGGGGAAACCGAAGTACCCTGAGGAAACCTGCCCCAGAGCCACTTTGTCCACCACAGATCCCACTTGACCCGACCCGGGATCGAACCCGGGCAGCCGCGGTGGGAAGCCAGCGACTAACTTCTTGAGTTATGGCGCGACCATAAACGAAACCTAAGGGAGAAGATATATATCTTGCGTGTATGTAAGAAATTTTCGTAACTAACAACCATACCACAGGATGTCATAGTCAGGGAAATGCATTTATTAGCGTCATTTAATGTAAAGTTGAATATTCACACCTCCAAATGTCTCTGTCAAATTCATGAGCAGTTTCACTAAAGTAATTTAACAGAAATTTAAATACGAACAGCTCTAGTCTATATTGAAAAATATAATTTACAATTTGGGCTTATAACCCGAATGTAACGGGAAGACATAAATATTACTTCGCTTTTTGAAGCGCTTTTAAAGGCTGTTTACTCGTAAATAAAGGGAAATCCTTTCAATAAATGTGGAACTGAAAAAATAACTAAAAATATGTTTATGTAGGAATTGTTATTAAGTTGCGCGTTATTAGTATGAAAATTTTTAACTTTTACTTACATTTGTTTGTGAAATGTGTGATATCAGTACACTCCCACTTTACTACGGAATTAAATATGAACTGAATATACTATAAAGTAACATGGCAAAGGGGTCAACATTAACGCATACTGTACTCTAACTGTACTAACATTTCTAAGTAATGAAATGAAAACTATTTCCGTTGATCTCTCTTAACTTCATGGTCGCTGAAAGCAGCCACATTTTTAAATTTAACGAGCTGTTATGAATTCTGATATTCCGTAACATATTGGCAATGGATGATCAGTCGGCTTCTTGAGAATAATGGTGAAATTAATGTTCTTACTTACTTACTTACTTACTCACTCCTGGAGCTGAGCCCTTCTTGAGGAGCCGCCAATTCTGCAGCTACTCAAGAACTTCCTAGCATTTTATGGAACCCTCAGGCTCATTACCGTGTTTACAAGAGCCCTCCACTGGTCCCTATCCTGAGTCAGACCAATCCAATCCATGCAATCCGAGCCTATCTCTCTAAGATTCATTTTAATAATGTCCACCCACCTACGCCTTGGTCATCCCAGTAGTCTCTATCCTTCTGGCTTTCTCACAAATATCCTATATGCATTCCTCTTCTCCCACATACAGGGCAATCAGACAGTAAGGATATCAGTCATAAAACCAAAATCACAATAAATATAGCAAGTGCCACGTAACTTCGAACAAGGCCAAGAGTAACCTTGAATGCGCAGAAGAAAAATTTCAGACAAGGGGGGGTGGAGGGTGTGAGAAGTGGCAGGCGGCCAGTGGAAGAACCGAGTGTTAAGAAACTCCTCCCACCACAAGCTATGTGCGGGATTTGACTAGGAATGCGGGCCTTGTTCGAAGTTACGTGACACTATCTATAATATTTGATACTTTAAGAAAAGGAACAGCGTTAAATAATTTCATTGATAAAAATGGAAGAGGTAAGGTCTTGTCAATATTACAGTCCTTTAAAATATTTTATCGTATTTTGACCCGCGTTTAAAGCAAATTTTCCAAATTTGAGGCCAAACTTTAAAACAGGAGAGAATCTGAATTACAAATTAAACGCGATATTGCCGTACGACCAATCAAAATTCAGCTCAGCTGTAGAATCGCTAAGGAACTGTCTCTCCAAACACTGGGCAACAGTGACGAAAATCGAGGGAAAACAATTATTTGTGACAGTATACTCGCAGAATGGTTTCCTGAGTAAAACTGCGTGACTCTTTCTTTAACTCATAAAAGACAATTAAATCATTATTAAAATGTCTACCTTCTTCCGGGAGACAGCTTACCTATATTTTATAATTGTGAAGAAATAAAGAACTTCAGCGAATAACAATTTGGACCTATTTTTTAATTGTGATTCATTGCGCAAAGGTTTTTTTATCTTCATAGAATGAAGAGAGGGCGAAAAAAGACGTTTTCTTTAACATTCTGTACAAAATAATCTTTAGCGATCGAAACAAAAATTGTATTTAAGAATTCAAAATAAAATAAAATAAACAGTTACTGTGTAAACTTTCAGTCATATAACTCTTGCGTTAATGATATATTTAAACAACTCAAGCTTATAATACAACCATAAAGTACGGTTTGTTAAGTCTCAGGTTCTCATGTTGGTGAATTTGACGAAGATGGTCATTCTGGGCTGTAATGTCCTGTAGTTCAGGGAGAACACGAAATTTCTGAGAGATATATCAGTCCCATCTTCCCTCCGAGTAGGGTCAACTTGTCGTCTGCTTCTGGATGATCCTTGCTCAGATAACTCAACTCTGAAGATGTAGGCGATTTTTTTTTATTATTCTTAGTGGGGTGGGACTAAGTCCCTTGTACTGTGGCCACTACTCGTCTACTGTACCATCCCCAGATGATAGGTGAGGGTGATTGTGGAGCAATTGGTGGAATGAAGATTGGCAGGGGAAACCGAAATACTCGGAGAAAACCTGCCCCCAGCGCCAATTTGCCCATCATAATAAATCTAGACGATATGTTCCTCTGAAGCGTTTGGATCTTTTTCTGAGTACACGATGTTACAACATAGAAGACCGTACTCTTCCTAGCTGTGTCAGTTTCCATTTCCATAAAATACAGTTCCCAATAAGTAGGCCTACATATCCAAATGTCTGTCACCGTAGACAATTTGAAGACTGCAGCTGCTAAGTCGCTGCAACACAAGTTCGCGGGGACAACGCGGTGGTATCGCTGATGGCAGGAAACGTAACGTCTGACGTCTCCAAAGACGTGACGTTTACAGTCCTTTACGTAAATCGGTCAATTATAACCTATTACCTTCATACAGAATCCGTGGCCTGTAGTCCGCAAGCGAACTACACCGACCGAGCGAACACAGCTTGTCGGTCGATTTAGTGCCAACATTTGCGTATAGAGGCTGTCGCGCGGTCAGCGCAACGGATCCCCACGGCCGTTAATTTCGGTTTTCTAGACCGGAAAAGAAAAATTATACAAAATATTAATTTATGAATCACTGGATTTTTGCACTTTGTCCATTTTCCGCTATTCTAGAAACCAGAAAACAGAACGTTTCGGAAACTGAATCTGTTTCCGTCCTCAGGTGAGGGGCTGAAGACACCTACTCTGTTAGGTTTCAGTTTCCGAAACGTTGTGTTTTATAGTTTCTACAATGCATGACGAGTGAGCCGGGATACTGTAGTCGGTATAGCGACTAGCTGAGGGCTAGACGACAAAGAGGTTGGAGTTCGAGTCCCGGTTGTGTCAAGAATTTTCTCTGCTCCACGTCGTCCAGACCAGCACTGGGATCCATCCAACCTCTTATCCAATGTGCACAGGGGGCTCTTTCCCTGAGGTAAAGCGGCCAGGGCGTGAAGCAGATCACTCACCTCCAACTAGTGCCGAGGTCAAGACAATATGGATCAATACA